CAGCTGGAGCGAAGCGTTGTCAGAAAGGCAGTAGCGCGTGTGGCTGCGACACACGTCAAAGTAGCACGCCAGAAGCACGAGAGAGTCGTCGCCGAAGTACTGGCAGAAATCGCGCGGAAGCGCAAAGGGGAAGGCGACGCAATGCAAGAAAGCAAGTGTAAAGCTTTACGCGCACAGGAACAGCTCAATGCACCGCGAGCGGCCAGCCTGATGGGGGCGCAACCACAGCCAAGTGAAGAGCTGCAGAAGCAGGCTGCGACAAAGCCATTCCACTACGTTTGCCCTTTCTGTCAAGTTGCTGTCGGCAGCACGGTCCGCTCTGGCCAAGTAGATCACCGCAAAGTGTGCGGGAACCGATTTCAAGTCAAAGATGGACACGTCGCTGCCAAAGAGTTTGTTTACAGTTGCCCGTTTTGCGAAGGCCCCGTCGCCAGCAAGCTGAAGACTGGGCAAATTAACCATCGAGGCACCTGCGGTAACCGGTTTTATGTCAAAGATGGCCAGGTGGCAGCCAAAGAATATGTTTACAGGTGCCCGTTTTGCGACGGCACGGTGGCGAGCAAGCTGAGGACCGGGCAAATTGACCATCGCGGCACGTGCGGCAAGCGGTTTGAAGTGGAGAACGGCGTAGTGAGCAAGGCAACGAAGCGGCACGCCCACAGGTGCCCACTGTGCCAGACGCTTGTTTGGTCTGCGCATAAGGCCGGACGAATCCAAAGCAAGCACAGCACACCGTGGGGACGGCCGTGTGAGCGGAAAAGTTAGATAGCAACGTAACAAGGTTTTAAGAGGTGCTGAAAACGTGCAAGATAACAGTTTCGAAGACCAATCGACACAGCTCGTGGCGCCTCGGAAATGCCAGATAGCAGCTTCGAAGCCCAACAGAAACAGCTCGTGGCGCCTCGGGCGGTCTTAGGCAAAGCAGCGAAACGCCATCGAAAGCTGCTGGGAGGGTTTTGAGATTCTAAGGCTTTTCAGGGGTGCTGGAAACGTGCCAGATGGCAGTTTCTAAGCCCAATAGAAACAGGTTATGGCGCCACGGAAGTGCTAGATAGCAGCTTCGAAGCCCAACAGAAACAGTTCGTGGGGCCTCGGGAAGTCCCGGGACGGTTTTGCGGGTTTTAAGGCTTTTAAGGGGTGCTGAAAACGTGCGAGATGGCAGTTTCGAAGCCCACTAGAAACAGGTTGCGGCGCCTCGGAAGTGCCAGATAGCAGCTTCGAAGCCCAACAGAAACAGCTCGTGGGGCCTCGGGGCCCAAGGCAAAGCTGCTGGGAAAGTTTTGAACGTTGTAAGGCTTTTAAGGGTGCTGGAAAAGGCCAGATGGCGGTTTCGAAGCCCAATAGAAAGTTGTGGCACCTCGGAAGGGCCAGATTGCAGCTTCGAAGGCCAACAGAAACAGTTCGCGAGGCCTCGGGAAGTCCCATGGCAAAGCTGCTGGGAGGGTTTTAAGGCTTTTAAGAAGTGCTGGAAACGTGCCAGATGGCAGTTTCGAAGCCCGATAGAAAGTTGTGGCGCCTTGGAAGTGCCAGATAGCAGCTTCGAAGGCCAACAGAAACAGTTCCTGGGGCCTCGGGAAGTCCCATGGCAAAGCTGCTGGGAGGGTTTTAAGGCTTTTAAGGGGTGCTGGAAACGTGCCAGATGGCAGTTTCGAAGCCCGATAGAAAGTTGTGGTGCCTCGGAAGTGCCAGATAGCAGCTTCGAAGCCCAACAGAAACAGCTCGTGGGGCCTCGGGGCCCAAGGCAAAGCTGCTGGGAAAGTTTTGAACGTTGTAAGGCTTTTAAGAGTGCTGGAAAAGGCCAGATGGCGGTTTCGAAGCCCAATAGGAAGTTGTGGCACCTCGGAAGGGGCAGATTGCAGCTTCGAAGGCCAACAGAAACAGTTCGCGAGGCCTCGGGAAGTCCCATGGCAAAGCTGCTGGGAGGGTTTTAAGGCTTTTAAGGGGTGCTGGAAACGTGCCAGATGGCAGTTTCGAAGCCCAATAGAAACAGGTTGTAGCGCATCGGAAATGCCAGATAGCAGCTTCGAAGCCCAACAGAAACAGCACATGGCGCCTCGCGAGGTCTCATGGCAAAGCTGCTGGGAGGGTTTTAAGGCATTTTAGGGTTTTTAAGAAGTGCTGGAAACGTGCCAGATGGCAGTTTCGAAGAAAGTTGTGGCGCCTCGGAAGGGCCAGATAGCAGCTTCAAAGGCCAACAGAAACAGTTCGTGGGGCCTCGGGAAGTCCCATGGCAAAGCTGCTGGGAGGGTTTTAAAGCTTTTAAGGGCTGCTGGAAACGTGCCAGATGGCAGTTTCGAAGCCCGATAGAAAGTTGTGGCGCCTCGGAAATGCCAGATAGCAGCTTCGAAGGCCAATAGAAACAGTTCGTGGGGCCTCGGGAAGTCCCATGGCAAAGCTGCTGGGAGGGTTTTAAGGCTTTTAAGGGCTGCTGGAAACGTGCCAGATGGCAGTTTCGAAGCCCGATAGAAACAGGTTGTAGCGCCTCGGAAATGCCAGATAGCAGCTTCGAAGCCCAACAGAAACAGCACATGGCGCCTCGCGAGGTCTCATGGCAAAGCTGCTGAGAGGTTTTGAAGGTTTTAAGGCGTTGAAAGGCTGCTGGAAAAGGCCAGATGGCAGTTTCGAAGCCCAATAGAAAGTTGTGGCGCCTCGGAAGGGCCAGATAGCAGCTTCGAAGGCCAATAGAAACAGTTCGTGGGGCCTCGGGAAGTCCCATGGCAAAGCTGCTGGGAGGGTTTTAAGGCTTTTAAGGGGTGCTGGAAACGTGCCAGATGGCAGTTTCGAAGCCCGATAGAAACAGGTTGTGGCGCCGCGGAAGTGTCAGAGATAGCAGCTTCGAAGCCCAACAGAAACAGCTCGTGGAGCCTCGGGAAGTCCCATGGCAAAGCTGTTGGGAAAGTTTTGAACGTTGTAAGGCTTTTAGGGGGGCTGGAAAAGGCCAGATGGCAGTTTGGAAGCCCAATAGAAAGTTATGGCGCCTCGGAAGTGCCAGATAGCAGCTTCAAAGCCCAACAGAAACAGTTCGCGGGGCCTCGGGAAGTCCCATGGCAAAGCTGCTGGGAGGGTTTTAAGGCTTTTAAGAAGTGCTGGAAACGTGCCAGATGGCAGTTTCGAAGCCCGATAGAAAGTTGTGGCGCCTTGGAAGTGCCAGATATATAGCAGCTTCGAAGGCCAACAGAAACAGTTCCTGGGGCCTCGGGAAGTCCCATGGCAAAGCTGCTGGGAGGGTTTTAAGGCTTTTAAGGGCTGCTGGAAACGTGCCAGATGGCAGTTTCGAAGCCCAATAGAAACAGGTTGTAGCGCATCGGAAATGCCAGAGATAGCAGCTTCGAAGCCCAACAGAAACAGCACATGGCGCCTTGCGAGGTCTCATGGCAAAGCTGCTGAGAGGTTTTGAAGGTTTTAAGGCGTTGAAGGGCTGCTGGAAAAGGGCAGATGGAAGTTTCGAAGCCCGATAGAAAGTTGTGGCACCTCGGAAGTGCCAGATAGCAGCTTCGAAGGCCAACAGAAACAGTTCGTGGGGACTCGGGAAGTCCCATGGCAAAGCTGCTGGGATGGTTTTAAGGCTTTTAAGGGGTGCTGGAAACGTGCCAGATGGCAGTGTCGAAGCCCGATAGAAAGTTGTGGCGCCTCGGAAGGGCCAGATAGCAGCCCCGAAGGCCAACAGAAACAGTTCGTGGGGCCTCGGGAAGTCCCATGGCAAAGCTGCTGGGAGGGTTTTAAGGCTTTTAAGGGCTGCTGGAAACGTGCCAGATGGCAGTTTCGAAGCCCGATAGAAACAGGTTGTGGCGCCGCGGAAGTGTCAGAGATAGCAGCTTCGAAGCCCAACAGAAACAGTTCGTGTTTCCAAAGCGCTTCGGGAGCTGCAATGGCAAGGCATCGCTTCTGAAGCTTTTGAAGCTTTGAAGGGGCAATGGAAAAGCACAAAGGCAGGCACCAGGGCCATGCTGCACACCTACGGTGATCCCGGGCGCCGCCCCGCCTAGGCCAAAGCTAGGCAGGGGTCGGCGGATATGATAAATATCATGATTGTCTTCCTCTTATAATTATGGTCGAAATGCCAACTTTCTGCTCAGGGCATGGCTCGAGTCTCTCGAAGTGGCAGTGCAGCTGCACCACCGGGGCCACCCATGGGTAGTTGGGAGCTCAGAGCTGGGGTTTAAGCATCGAAAATGGTGATTTTTAATGGAATATCCATGGGATATCATGGTTTATACTTGCAAAACGATAGAAGAGTCATTGATCACTAGGATTTTACTAGGATTTTACTTTTCTGGCATTTTCGGATTGCAAGAATTGAATTGAATGTAATTGAATGCAAATTGAACGGGATTGCTGGCAGCATTTTGAACTTGGGGCCACAGCATGTTGCAGTTGAGGCCCGCGGAGGCAGCCTTACAGCGCCCGCGCCAGCTACACCGAAGCCAAGACTACTACAATGCAATCAGTGCCGTCCCAGTCCCAGTGTTGGTGACACTTCATCCATGCGTTTCTTCCTTCCGAAGCAGAACATGAAATTGCAATTTTGGAATAATTTTGAAAGTCCCAAGTTAGAGGGTTTCTTTCCTTGTCATGCTTGTAGCACATATCTACTGCAATGGAAGGCTGCTAGGTATATATCCGTTTTAAAAATGACTCGTGCTGATCACATATTTTACTCTGATTAACTCCACAGCCCAGGCTGGGAGAAAGGGTCTCGTGACGTTGGCATTCATGTTTTGCTCCGTTTCGCATTGTCCCTTGGTGCTCTTGTATCTTGCATGGATCTACGTTTCCCGTCCAAGGACCCGTCGGCACATTGTCCCTCCTCGGGTGAGGCGTCCGAGTGAAACTTCAGGTGCTCCTGGGCTGAGAGTATTGGACCTGACCAAAATGGCAAAATGGACAGGATGAGACCAGCTAAATTGCCTTCACACTACTCTTTTGAATTGCCGTGCATATCCAGAAGCCATTTCGGATTTGTCCCCTTTCGCAGGGAACAATCGTTCTCTTGAAAGGTCATGCGAGAGAGGTTGAACATCAGTCCTGGCACTCCACTGATTAGCAGTCAGATGGGCGAGGTGCAGTGGTACGCCTACCTGGGCTGCTAGCCGGGTGATTGACTCAGGCAGTCCGCCGCCAGTGATTCGGCGTCGAGCTGTTCTGAGCCAAGGTCATGTTCCGCGGGCTGCAGCTGCTGTTCCCAAGTTCATTCGAGAGATGCAGGTGACTTTAGGAACAGCTCCAAATGTGGACATCTCGCAGATGACTACGATCCCAGGAGATGTGCAGGTCGGTGCTCCTTCACAGATGTCCATGGCCCCAAGGACTTTCTTTGGATATCCTTGGTCCTCGAAGCCCTGCAGCAGTGTCAGCGCCATCGGTGACCGAGGAGATGCAGCAAGAGATGAGGGCATTGGCTAGCCAAGTCGCAGGTCAAGGGCGAGTTTTTCGAAGCTGCTGGGAGGCCCAAGAAAACACGGCAAACATACGCTGCCTCGGAGGTAGCAAAGGTGACGAGCCTCTGAAGAGCTTGGCCAGGCTCAACCCACCGGAACTGCACCATCAAGTTCATCAAGAAGTGAAACGATATCAGTCCACGGGAGAGGGACACGTCTTGGCTGCAGGCTTTGCTCTCGGATTTGCGTTCGAGAGTAGCATCAGCATTTGACTGTAGCAGACAGATCTTCTTTGGTGGGTCTCGGTCTTTGGTACCATCCTCGTTGCCGTCGACTTTGGTACCATCTTCCTCTTGCAAATGTCCCGGGAGTAGACCCTTGGGCGCGTGCAGAAAAACAAAAGAGTGAATGGTCGTATCGCAGTACCGATTGAGTTGCAACACTTTCAGACCTCATCTTGCATTTCTGACTGAACCCCCACAGTCTTTTTCGCACTGCTTGACTCAATGCATTTTCGGCTGCGCCCTCACAGTCTTTTTTGCACTGTTTGACTCGAGTGATGCATTTTTCGGCTGCACCTTCACAGTCTTTTTTGCACTGCTTGACTCCTTCTTTGCTTGCTACTTTCCAGACGCAGGTGGACCAGTTGTGACTGCGACATCTTCAAGGCTGACCCCTGCCAGTGTTCCACGCTCAGAGATCTGTTGCAGGCTATTTGCTTGTTCAATCTTTTGAGTACTCCTGTGTGCTAAACCGGGTTTGAGCTAACAAAGCAGGCGTAGTAAGATGCTTGCAAGCAAGTCCCATCCTTGTTCGTTTGGGCTCTGGCACTCTCTGTTTCATTGCAGTCATGGTGCACCGTGATTCGCAAATTTGCCTTCACCCTGTGAAGGAACCTGGAAATTTCATTTCGCTGGCGTTGCCACCATGTCAACTCTAAGGGTTTAGCTTTTTGAGGTGGTGAAGGCTCAGGAGAAAACGCTGGAGAGCGAGGCGAAGAGCCCGGATCTCAGATTCTGTAAGGAATTTGGGTGTCCAAACATTCCGGAACACATCAACTATGTTGTTTTTGTGTTTTTTCCTTCCAAAAGCAAACCCCGGGAATGTTGGATTTATAGACCATGTTGGTGCTGACCCAAAGGCATCAGAGTTTGTCCCTCACGGCACCCAGATGAATCTGCGCCGCTTTCACCTCGGAATGGCCATGGTCAACAAACAGCTTTCGTCAGGCGCACCTTACTCGCGTGTTGATTAAAGGGGGGGAGGCAGCGAAAAAGGCACTTGAAGTAGAAACAATTTGAACATTGATTTTGTAGACTCTGACATGTAGGACTTCCAGAGTTAAAAGGAGTTGGGAGCTCATGGTATAGCTTCGCAACGGCCATAGTTTTTGCGACGGATTTGCAGGTCCCGCAGTCTTCAAAGCATTACCGAGCCAGAGGCAAGTGGCCATCGTAGTTTGGGAGCACATTTGGACCGACAACTGGGAGGTCACCACACCATGAGGAATTAATTTCAGATCTGGTGTAAGATTTCTAACTACAATGTTTTGGCAAGTGCACTCAAGACAAGCCTCCAAGTTCGCAGGCAGGAAGTAGGAATTCAGTCGCGAACTTTAACGAGAAAGTATTCAGGTGTCCAACCACACAGTATGCAGAAAAAAAGAACCTCCCTTGAGCTGAAACCTCCCTTCCAAGAACAGGTTGGTGCCACGCCAAGCCGGGTCACAAGGCGTGGCATAGTCACCAAAGAATCTTATGGTGGTCTCAGTAAAAAGGCCGGGTATGCATGAGAAATCAAAGAGATGGCCGTCTGATGTGGAGATATAGAATATTGAACCAGCAAGGAGAGCTGACTGTCTCCAATTTTTGGCCATATCCAAGTGACAAGTTGCACTTGCGTGAATGGGTATTTTTTTGGCATTTGGTTGGGATGACTTGTGATGCTCCAATTGGAATTTGGTGTGACTTGAAGTTGAAGAGCGCAACATTTATTTCCGAAGGCTAAGAAAGAATTCCGAGTATTCATACGTCCTCTTCCTCAAAAGGGTAACTTGGTTTCTGAATGTCTTTGCTTGCATTTCATTGATAAGATTTACACGCCCTTTGTCATTGCAGTCCAGTCCTCAGGCCATGGACCATAGTACCATCAGGGGTTGACATGGGGCATTGGGGGGCTAAGACACCATGATTTCGGTTGCCAAGACACCTTGTTTTCAAAACGTCTCGGACTTCACGGCTGCAGGCCGACTGAAGCGTCAGCAAGAAGGTCGCAGGCTGGATCTGAAATTGCTGTCACGTTTCTGCATGATCTCACTGAGCAGGAGAGCTTTGATGGAATGTGATTCTGTTTATTATTGTTTATTGTTTAAGTTCTGAAGATGGCTTCATTTGTTTTGTAGTCAGTTTTAACTGCGATGTCAGAAAGGCAACATGGAAGTCTGTTGGATCTTTCGGGTACTGTGTATCCTCGCCGCAGATCACGCCCATTGGTGGCCGTCTCTCTTCTTCTGCTTCGCAGCCTAGTAGGCACCCGCCTGGGGAAACGGCTGCTGCTTTCATGCCAATGAGCTGGGCCAGTTTGCAAATCCCAAATCACATGTAATAGGTGCAACAAGTATGTTCAGACACAAAACCATTGGTTTCCCCACAGACAGAGACCCATTTCGGGGACTTGAGTCCCAAGTTTGGTACAAATGCTTACATCCCAGTGTCGTTTGCACAGAAACCACCCGACTTACAGAATCATTCTCTTGTCTTGTGAGATTTGTGAGGCCTCATGTCGTAACCTCTGTCTGGATGAGCTCCCGCCTATCCGGTGCTGGAACAACACCAACAACACAAGGTGTGGGAAGAAGCCCACGACATATCGCATCAGCGGGGAACTTTCAGATCGACAGTAGACCCCAAACTGTTCAAGGCAAATTGATGCATTTGATACAACTACAACACTCCTGGACTTGGGAAACGAATGAACTGATTGGGAGACAAATGATTGAGAGACAAATGGAGAGAGACTACAGCACCACAGGCGGACACACCTTAACGAAAAATTGAGGACCCCAACCGTATGTCAGTATGTAAACTGTTTGGGGATGTTTGGCGATGTTTGGGGGAATGAACATGGGGAATTGTCAGGATACAACCTTCTACCAGTACGACAAAAGTCAGCTAGGTCCGTTTCGTCGCAAGAAGGTGTCCGCCTGCATGCACGAACAACCAAGTCCACAATGCCTTCCAAAGTGGTGCGCCTGGGCTGGGGGCAGGAACAGATGTGGGTTTGGATCAAATTTCTCTCACAATCTTCGAAGATATTCTAGCGGATTTGTAGTAGTTGTGCAGAAACAATTGTTCCTGCCATGACAGGCCATTTGGAAAATGTTCGGATTTTGCTGGTTCGGCCCTATAAAAACCTTCGTTGATTTTTGGCGAAATCGGTGAGTTCTCGGTGATTCTTGTTGCTTAAACCTGCATGATTTTTCTTTATAGTAGCCCCCCAACAAGATATATAGACAAGTAATATTTGGCATATTTTGGCATTATTTCAATGGGTTTTTACTTTTCTGTCATTTGCTATGTACTTTCTGTTTCTTGTGGTGAAGCTTCTGCTGGTCACCCAACAGCATGACAGCCCAGGAGTCCACTGGACCAGTCGTGCGCGATGTCACGCCCAGCGCATGGAGCTACGCCCAGCACGGGAAGATCATGGGGATAAGCCATGGGAATGTCATGGGGATGTCATGACGTGGATATAACATGAGATAACATGAGATAACTATATAACCATCAATAGGGATTTAGCATGATGAAAAACCCTCAAGGATTAATGGGAATTAATGGGAATATAGTGGGGCTATTTACTGGGATATAGAACCAACCATATGATACTAACCTGGTGGAACATGGGGATTTACTGGGATATTGGTGGTATCCAGTAATGGGATGTAACTACAATTTGGGTGTGTTTGAAAATGAGGGATGCCACTAATTTATGGCAATTTTAAACAGGAAGCATGATCAACCATCAAAGTTGTGAGCTTTGTAGATCACTAATGGCTATGGTGGGTATGGGTTAAATGTCAAGACCTCACCACATATTTTTGGTCCATTTTTATTGTGTACATCCTATTTTCGGGGTGCCCAGTCTTGACCCATACCCAGGAGTTGATCAGATGTTGGAGAAATCCATGGACAACCCATGATTTTCCAGATGGAATCCGGGGATAAATGAATGGAAAACCACATTCGTATCACAAAAACTGGAGGATATGAGAGAATCGGGAGGATATCCATGAATGTTGGGAAGACGACACATTGTCCAAACGAAAGACACACTATGTAAATTTTGGGACTTATATAATCAAAGATGGAGCCCATTATGCTGAATAGTTGTATATAAGATTATATAAGAAATTATAAGAATATCCGCCATTTCAAGGTGAAGTTGAGGACTGTGGAAAAGCAATCCACGGCCACTTCCCTTTTCCAAACACACCAAACTTTTTGAGCAACGTCCAGCCTCATAGCTGCATAGGGCTTTGGCAACATCACGGTCATCGCCGTCGTTGGAAACTCGCATGGTTGGCAGCCCAAACAGGATAGTTTTACACTGACCCTTGACATGGTTCTGCACTGGTTTTCAGGGTAATGATTATCGCATTGGTTCTGCAAGTAGAAACGACCTTGTTGAGGAGCTAAAATGGTTTAAGAGCACAGCAGCGCATCTTCTCCAGTACACTCAGTACACACTTGCAGACATCACTGCAAAAGTACTGTATGGTGTTGAACTATTTCCACACATGGGCCAGGAGGGAGCAATAACCATCGATGGTCATCAATGATCATCATTGAAAGCGAGCTGCTTCTGCAGAAACCGCCGTGTCTGAGGTTCTGGGCCGGCAGGTGCGGGAAACAGCCATGGCGACGCCTAGGTGGGCGAATCTTGACTGTCCGGTTGTGGCAGATGAATACACTGGAGTCAGATTTGCTGGTCAGGCCCCTATTCTCTGCACGCACAATGAGATGAGGCGCCCGAAAGCTGACACACAAGATGGTTGGCATAGCATGGTGAAACTGAAAGGAGCCAAGTCAGACTTAAACAAAGCAACCAGACTGCAGGGACATAGGGTCCTTCAACAGCTGAATTTTCAGAGGCCCGCCTCCAGTGGTGAGCTGACTTCGCAAGCAATCGAAGGGCTGAGAAAGTTCGATCGATATTGTGACCATTGTTACCATATGGTATCAGATTATCTTCTCCACAACCTATGGCAGTCTTGTTTTTCCTACCCCGCTTTCGCCGCTCTCTTCAAAGTTGAAAGCTTATAGGCTTTGAGAGGATATTTCTCTGAATTTCAGAGGACAAAGACTGCAAGGAATGTTTTGATCTCTTGTTTTCAATGCTGTTCTTCCAGAAAAGGGAATGGCCTCCTGACACAACGGAGCAGTTCATACTCACAAGACGCAATGAAGAATACTGGGAGTGGGAACCATGGAAGGGCACGTACTATAAAGAGTCCTTTGTAGCAGACGGACATAGATGAGGTGAATTGGAGGGTGAATCACTGCGATCCAGAGAGACCAGGTAAGACATGGATGTTCACTTCAGGCATGCGACTGACACAACATTTGCGAGTCTTTGCCTCTGCGCCGAAAATTGGACTGCAATTTGAGTCAAAGGATCAACAATGATTCTTAAGAGTGTTTGACAGGGTCTTGAAGTGACCCCAAACTTCCATGCCGATTGGCAAAAAGAGTGGCCATTCCGCAGCTGGCATTTCCCATCACTTGAGTGAAAGTTGCACCTAGACCTAGACCACTAGACTATCCACTTTGGCGACGACTATCTGCTGTCTTGGCTCAGAATTCAGGCAGAGTCGGACAGTCCATGTAGCAAATCAGAACCTTAAATCTACATATGTTACATACATAAATCTTCAAAGAACTTGGTGTGAATGAACTCCTGGCATTGAGCCGCGGTGAGGCATCGGAGCTGAGAGGGAATGATTTTGTGTTTGGACTCAACAAGTGAAGTCAAGGTCAAGTTTGGGCCGAAGTCTGGGTCGTGGTCAGAAAGAAATTGAAGAAGTGTTGGAGCACAAAGGTCATTCACACATATTCACAAGATTTCGGAAAATATGACCCAAAGCATTCTCTTTGCATGGGCCTTTCCCAGCATGTTGAATGGCCCACTCTGATCAGGATCCACCCTCCAATGTTGCAATCTGCTTTGGGATTCCTGGTCTGTCACTCAGTCACTGGTCTGATTTGGTTTGCCTTGCTTGCGGATGGAACTGAGATGAACTGAGGCTGGCTATGCCTGTAGGGCCCAGTGTGGATCTTTTCCTTGTGCGGCTGGGATCTGAGACAAAAGCCAGCTCAAGCATATCATATCATATCATATCATATCATATATCATATCATATCATATCATATCGTCTCATATAATATCATATCATAAAATCTATGATGGTCAACTTGCTGCTTTTAGGTCATTTCCAAAACCTTGTGAGGCCAGTTGCAAAGGCAGCGCCAACGCTCGACCGTCAGCCACTTAAGGGCCTCCCACGACAGACATCCAATATGGGGGGGATTTAACCGGTTCTGACGGGGATTTAACCGGCAAACGATCCAGAGATTTATGACCAAAACTGGGTAAACACGAAAAGAACAACCAATAGTTGCACCAAGTTGGGGATGTCCAAGAATGGTGAATTCTGTAGGCTCAAGAGTTGAATTCTCAATCCCTTTACAACGACTTTCGCTTTTTGTTTCATACAGTGTTTTTTTTAATCAAATTAAAGTAGCGATGGCCTATTACATGTTGATTGCATATGATTGCATAAGATTTAACAACGTGACATTCCACGTATTCCTGCCAAGGTTTAAGTTGAGCATTGTCCTCCACAGCGCAACAGTGGAGAAGATCTCAGGGCCTGGTCTAGTTCAGGCTTGGCCCAGGGAGTTGGAGTCCATCGGGAAAGTGTGGGTCAAAATTGCCTTTAAACATTGGATTGGTTTAAGGGAAAATTTACAGGAAACCATGGTTTTTGCCATTAAATATGGGGGTTTCCTGTAAATTTTCCCCTAAACCAATCCATTGATTTAAACTAGTAGAGATGTTGCAGAATTTGCAGAAACCCCCCAGATCCCTCCAGTTTCCGCTGTCGCTCACAGGATCAACGTCCCTACATCACCATTCGCATCAATGACAAGCTGAAGGTGGCACCGCAAGTGCTCCTCAAATTGTGTTTCCCAGTTGAAACTTTTGTGCAAATTGCATGAAGTGAACTCACTCACAACATTGCAAAACATGATTCTGAATCAGACTAATCAGACTCATTTGTTGGAAGTAAATATGAATGCCGCGAACTCAATCTGCAAGCTCTTCCGCTGGAACCCTCGTTCTAAATTCTAAACTCTCAAACCCAAGCTGGTGCCTCTGATTCAGGAAACAGAGTTGGGTGATTGGTGTTCCGACAAGGAACAGTGGTGCTTTCGAGAGGTGGGAATCAGACTTGGGACGAGGAATGATGAATGGACAGCTATCCATTGCATTTCACATCTTTGGACTTGGTTGAGCCATGCAGGTCATCACATTAGAAGTTGTCCCAACTGATGAGATCTTCGTTGCAGCTTGGCTGAAGCAGAGACGTGCCATGTCCCACGAAACGTGGCAACTAAGCTGCCACCTTGCCTCCATTTGGATAAAATCTGAGGCAGTAAGCAGCAGCACCAAGTATGACTTCTGGCTGGCATCCGTGCAGCTAACAAATACCAAAATCGGCGAGGCGGACAGAGTGATTTTTGGTGCTAAGTGATGGCAGCGGAAGTTCCTGGCAGGCGTGCTTTCCCGTGTTCTCTGTGATGCCGCGGCTGAAGCCTGAGGTGCAGAGCGACTGTGGGAACAGATGGCAACTTTTAGTAGCTTGTTGTTTTCCCATGTTTTCCCAGTTTGTGCTGCCCAACTACCCTTCATTTTTTATGTGGATATGTGTGGATCTTGCTACACAGTGCCTTGACAGGACCGTGACGAGAATGGTATCGTCTTTTCCTCTCCCATTATCCCTTTCGACGTCAGGCAAGGCCCTGCGAATCCAGGCATTCACTGAGATGTGGGTATGGCTCAAAATCAAGATATACTGATATATATAATAGATATACCATACCGGTGTGAATTTCCTCTAGGATTTCAGGGGGGTCAACCCCCCTAAGAAGGACTGATTTTCTGGCACGAAAATTCTTCGATTTTGATGAAAGGCTGCTTTTATTAACACCCTCATTTTCTACAGAACAACTTTTGGAGACCTCTGAGTCGGGAGACCCTGATTTTCTGGGTAGCTTAAGTGCCCAAAATCCAGGAGCATAATTTTAGCATCTCTGGGAGGACGTTCCTAGATTTTCTTGGGTACCTCAAATTGGTTTGATGTCTGTAGCTAGATTTTCTTGGGTCCCTAATTTATACAACATTCATTTTCTAGTAGAAAATCACAGGCCCCAACCTGACCCGGTGAACTGACACAGGGTTGATATACCACAATTTCTTTGGTAAACAGATTCTTCTTGGTGAAACTGCATCTATCCTCGCGACTCAAGTTTTATGCCTGCTTCTGGAACCACCTGATAAATAGAGTTTATTTTTGACCTGATGGATCATCACACACTGTTCGGACAGACTACCGACTGCAGGGAAGATGGGGTCACTACTGCTCGCACCTACCTCTCCTTTGAAACAATGCAGGCCTCACACCGCGGTGTTTTGGGTTTGCTTCAGTGATTGGACTGAGTGAATTGCGATATTCACCTTGTAAAGACCCACAAGTCCGAAATCCCATGAAAGTGGCGGTCCGCCTGGTCGGCTTTTCTCTTGGATCTATCTTCAAAGTATCTGAAAGTCAATCCCGGATGAAGAGGCACAGCGGCTGTGTATCGCTGGAAGAGTCACCCCTTCACAAGCGGAGGCTCCCATGACGTCACGTCAGCACCGACCTTCTGAAGGTGGCTGTTGCGAAATCTCGAGGAAGGCCAGGCTGCGGGATGCCGTAAAGATCGGGAGAATATTGACCAATAGAGATCAACAACAAGGGAGATCTTGGGGCAAATTGAGCAACAAACACGACAAGACGAGTGAAATTATAATGGGGACGTATAAACAGGTATAAACTTTATCATGACCGGTTTGGAGATATCCAAAGAACATCAAATTCATCAACATTTAATCAACTAGTCATGGTATGAATTTCATCATGTTTGAACCAGTATGTTTTCGAACGCATGCCCAGTGGGATACCTACGACGATTCGGAGCGCTATGACAGCTCACCAAGCACTCGTGAGAGTGACTGAATGCAAAGGTAGGACCTACAGGGAGAAGCAAATCTTGTGCTCGCTCTATCACCACCTTGAAAGTGGCTGGAGTACAGTACATTCCTAGAACGTCTGATCAGCTGATAACAACCAATAGATTGTTAGAGTTTGTTGGGCTGGATTTGTTTGGTAGAGTCATTTGCCAACTGAGCAGCATACTACATGCCTCGCCCTGGACGTCGGAGCCGCTGACACCACAGGGCTTTGCTAATGAATTGGGCCGCTCGGCGGCCACCTTCGGGAGCTATAAAGATCTCCAACATGGCAACATGTATCATCTGATGGGCCATGGGCCATAGCTGGAAATCCACCATTAGTAGCCATGGTATGAAATGCTTTGAAAAGCACCTTCCCAGTGGCTGCCGCTGCAATAGTCAGTGTCAGTCTCCTGCACGACCAAATTGGCTGTGCAAAGAGCATAAAGAACGATTCCTCCGGACGTACGCAGTGCTGCAATGAGACAATGCCGGAACTTAGCAAATGATGGGTAATTCAGAAAATACAATCAGAACGGTGGCAATGGCAAAGACTTCAATGACCATTGATGAAGCACTTCCTATCTTAAGGGATAAAAATAAACCCGCAAAAATTCAACCCAAGCAAGCTAGCAAGACAACTTGCAAAATGCTTCCCGCCTCGGCAAGGTACTCGTATGCGTGCGAATTGCAGTGATCGATCTGAGTCCGTCTGTATTTGTAGCCTTTTGGTCCGATCGCGGCATGAAAACTGAAGAAGAGCCTCTCACATTCTTGAATCAAAGCTTCACGTCACAACGGAACTAGCATACAATTGCAGTAATTGCAAGAAAGAACAGCAACCTCTTGCAGCGATTGCCTCATTGTCTCTGGGGTCACTTGGAGCCGGCTGACACGCAAGCCTTGAAGGGCTGTGCAGAGCGGTCGTGCTCTCAGCTGAAGGTGCCAATGCAGAGAGCCAATGCTAGGAAGGCCCCAGATTTTTTAGACACAGGCTCTTGGCGTCTCACTGTTGGGACATCTCATTCAGTGTGGAGTAACCTCGCCAATTTCAAATCGCTTGATATTTGGGCCACGCCAAATGGCTGATCTGGTCTGAGGCGGTTGAGTAGCTGTTTCCCAGGGGATGTCTGAAACTCAGCAGCCATAATTGGAATGAAACATCGATCAGCACAGCTCACTGGACAGTAGATGGTACACCATGGCTTTTGGTTTGGAATCCTGTTTGGAATACCCACTGATATGGAAGCCACTATTTTTGATAGGCAGAACATCTACAAACAGGTCATTTTCCATAGCTATGTTTGATTGAAAGAGGGACACAACTGAAACCTGCCAAGGTGCGATCTGTGATGGTGCGAGAGGATTTTTCCAGCATAAATCCCATCGCCAGCTCCTGTCGAGGTGGCTTTCAGGATTGAGTGGGGTAAACTGAAGGTTTCTGATGGTCTTTGATTCATCATTGATGCTTTTTGAAGGCTCTTGATATGTCATGATTTTGGGTCCGAATTTGTGTCGATTATGATTTTTGTGTCCGCTCCTTGGGAGGTATACCAGGTGCTTCCTGGTGCTTTCAGACGACATACCGCACTGAGTTCACCTGCCATGCTGTGCTGCCAGCGACTCCGAAGGCCGGTTGGGTCGCTGTCCGACATCATCATCTGCCAACGTGGAAAGCATTGCTGCCAGGAATGTTTGGGAAGTTCAACGTAGAAACACATAAGCCATGTCACAAACTCCATTGAAGGCATTGAGATCAAGTTAATCTGGGATAATCTGGGTAAGTTAAACGAAAGCGGTAACGCAGATCGGGAGAGCTTAGAGAAGGTGTCGCAAGAGTGGTGACATGGATTCCTTTGGAAAAGGGTCGCCTCTCTTCTTCCGTATTGTATAGAAGACGTGGTTTTGCACAATGAACCCCTTGGTTCTTGATCGGTGGACAGCGACAAAGTATCGCGACAACTCATTCCTCACCAGAGGCTCAGAACAGTATTTGGAACCATGATGGAGTTCACAAACATCGCAACCAAATCCCAAAAACATAGGCCCAGCAAAAGCCTGCGGAAATATCGAGTATCCAAATCAAGGTAGTTGTCCCCATACCACATCAGCAACTTTGTCCAGACTGTATATGATATATATAATATATTTATCGAAAGTGCTGTGTAAGCGAGTTGTCGAAGAGTGCTCCACGAAATGAAAAGCCGTCCTGCGACATAGACGGGAAAGTGATTGTGAAAGTGATACGTACGGAATTCCATGGTTTAGCATAGTTAGCATCATTCTTACTTTACAAAATTGGAATTTTGGGGTATCTGCAGTATCCCCATCATACCAAGCCAGATCTGCCATTGATTCTGGCCCGGTGGTGAGGAAGCGAATCCTTCCAGAAGTGCTACCCCGGCACTGCGGTCGCGGAGGAAGGACTTCAAGGTGCAGAGGCTTCGTGGTTTCCCAAGCCATCAGATCCCAAGTTATCCAAAAAATGTCATCAAACATACTGTATTTTTTCATAGGATTCATATGGAAACCAATTGGTAACCCAAATTATTGAGGATATTTTCTCGATATGCTGATGCCAAGTTTTCCGACCAATGGTTGGGTATGGTCGGGTACGGACTTGGTGGGCTGGGTTCCACAATTCAACGTCCGGAAGGAGGAGACGGAGTCAGATTTACTTTACCTGGTGTTTGATTCTTTAGACTGAATCCTGCTTTTCTCCGAGAGAAGCAGCCAAAAGCCGAGATATCCAGAACAAAAAGTTTTGTGGCTTCTTGTTAAGCACAGCAGCGATACAGTACATTTTTTCTGATACAGACAAGGAAAGCCAAGTTTCATGCTCAAAGGCATTTGCGACAGGCTCCGGTACCTCAAACAATACCTCCTGGGGCGCGGCCACGTACTCTGGGCGGCCAACTATTGCACACCAAGGACACTGATTGCAAGTTTACGGAATTGTGCCACGTGAAACCCGAGGCAACTCGATGACAGTGAATGTGTAAGAATTGTATGGAACTATATATAACTAACTATAATTAATTAGATTGAATTATCCCAAATCTGCTCTTTTCCACTTCCTTCGAGATATCAAGGAAGATATTGTCATAGCCAAAATGTCCAGATCTTCCATCGCAGGATCCAAAGATCATCGCAGAGTTCAAGGTGCCCAAGGAAACGCAACGCTATCAGGACCCCTTCCTATGCTGCCATGGTTTCACCATGGTTTGAAGCCAAAGTGTGTGTCATTGAGTGGATCCAAATAGGCGACATGACTCGGGAGCCCAGACTCCTTTTTTTATGGCCTATTTGAGGAGCAAATCATCTTGGGCCCATCTCCTCCATTGAACAATCTAACCCTGGTGTTTTATGCGTATTTGCTCCAACCATTGTCCAAAGCATTTGGGCCAGGATTATCCCTGTGGACGTCGATCCCCCCGTGCCCGATACAGCGCAACCATCAAGGACCCAACGTCAGGGCAGGGCGGATGGATCTTGGGTAAATTGAGAGCCGGCGCCAGGAATGGGAGAGGCCCCAAGAGATGATCCTACGGGAGCCGGTGATGCTTGGCAAGGTGGCCAGGATCGACTGGGAAGCGAGATGTCAGAAAGCCAAGTGATGCCAAGATGCCAAACTTGGGACATTCTGCGCCAAGACCAGACTCGGGCATGGTCCTCCAACTCCAGAAACACTTTGTTTTGCAGGAGGAAACATGATATTGAAGGTCTCCTGTCTTGAGGCAATCTTATTTGAGAGATCTTGGAGTCGACTATGGTGCCTCGCCCGAGCAAAACAATTCAATAGCTTGGAGCCACGGCCAAGTCAAAAGGCAAAGCTTTGGAGCTTGGTTGCGACTTGCACAATCTTGCACACTTTCTTGCTACCGGGGGTAAGTTCAGATGGCTAGTGAAGAACAACCACCAGAAAGCTACAGCGGTTCTTCCTGTTCTGAAATGGTAGCAGGCAAAGCCTTCATGGTCACGAGGGTTTCCACTCAAGGTGGACCCTGGCTTGCGAGTGCTTGGCCATGCAGTTTTCAACATCATTATATAGAAAAAGATGTCCCTGCGTGCCAGTGCGTACCGTACGCATAGGTAGTCACCATATGACAGATCGAGAGTACTTGGAAAAAGTTGGACGGTGCGACAGCTGAGACAGGTTTTTGGTTGTGTCATAGGTAGGTTCTCCGCGTTCGGTGTTTCCCCCTTGCAGGTCTTCATAGTTGTGCACAGATGCAGATCTTGCCAGTACTCCAGGCCTACTGATATGGGTTTGTCTGAGAATAGGGTACCCCAATATCCAGTGATAAATCACTATTATCCCTATATATATATACGTACATATATATATATATATATATTACCCCTTCATAACCGTAGGTTGGTTGGGTAGGGGCTTTATGAGGTGTGAAAGTGTTGATACCTTTTGGGCCTTGATGCCAATTTTGGCTCAAGGACCCACTTTTGGTTTTTCGCCTGCGTGGGTCCATGGCACTTCGGCCTATTGATTGGACTTCCTGGAAGGGTGCGGCGAAGCTGTGGCTCACCACCCATCCAGGGTTCAATCATAGGGAGGTCACGCGCGAGCAGCGGCTGGAGAGCTTCGAGCTGCGCGCGGCCTTTGCGGTGGCGACTGCGGCTGCCCATCGCGAGGACAGAGGCCTGGGAGCCCTGCCTTGCGATAGGTGCGGCGTGTGGACGCACTGCTGGTGCGAAGCTTGCCAGCGGCCTGCGACGGCTATCTGCACTGTGTGCGATGCCGCGGAGGCGATCTGCCACGCCTGTGAGCGTGCCGGCAAGTCCTGGCGAAGCGCCCGAGCGGCGTACGAAGCGGCGACGCTGCAGGAAGAGGAGATCGTCGAGATCTCCGGGTTCCATGATGCAGCGGGAGTCTTCCAGACCATTGACCCCCCGCTCCGGATCCCCCTCAGGGAGGTCCTCTCGGCCGATGGCGAGCTGGACGCGGCCGCCATCACCCGCCGTGCCGCCGCGCACGGCCAAAGAGGTGACGGCCGGTATGGCGCCTGAGGTGGTGGACATCCTGCTGGATCTCCCCCTCCCCCTCCTTGCACGCCTGGGCGCTGAAGGAGTGGAGACGGCGGCAGATGTAGTAGGGTTGTACCCCAATGTGGACCTGTTCATGGATGCCCTGCATGCCGTGATGGGGACACGTGTGGATGCCGACCTTAGCATGGATGTGGCGTGCACTTATGCTCGGGTTCATGGGCTGGCCCGTAAGACAAAGAAGCACGCAGTTGAGCTCGTAGTAGCCGAGCGGCAGTCTGTGTACCCCTCGGGTGCTGCTGAGCGCGGTGGAAGCCGTGAAGCGGCCGCTAGCAGCCGCGGAATGAAGCCCCTGGTGGGCCTTGGGACAGGCTCGGCTGGATCCACTGTGGTGTCTGGGCCTGGTCCTGCACCGGCCAGCACCAAAGCAGACGTAGCCAAGCAGACTAAGTTGGACCTCCTTTTCCACCTGCTGGTTGACTACGTTTTAGACTTGCAGGAGCTGGGCATCGATACTGCCCTCCTGGCTGACCCGCTGGGTCGCACAAAGGTCCGTGAGACTGTGCTCCACGGGGCCCAGAGATTGTCGACCCAGAGGCTGGGTGCTTTGATCAGCAGCTTCAAGAGGTGGGTGAAGTTTTGTGAGGAGAGGCAGTGGGCGCCTAACGCACCGAAGCCATTCCAGTTGGCCACTTACCTGCACTGTGTCAGTCAGGGGGGGCCCACAGCGGCATCGTCGATGCATGCAGCCTTGAAGTGGTTCGCAGACCAGGCTGGTGCGGCACTGGATCTGTCGCACCCCATGGTGGCCCCTTACCGCTTCCACGCTGTGACCCACACAGCGAGGCAGGCCCCGGAGCTTCAGCCCTGGGAGCTGATCAACTTGGTTTGCCTCTTCGGCCGTGCCAAGGGCAACCATAAGCTCCTGTTGGCCTGGGTGGTGATGGCGGCGATCTCTTGCGTTCGCTGGGAACACCTGCAGCGCTCGAGTTTCGTGGCTGGCCACACCAAGTGGATTGAATTCCACTGCCAGCAAGGCAAAGCTCGGAAGAAGGGAGCCAGGCCAGCGTATGGATGGGCTCTACCAGAATGGTGCTGGGAAGGCCATGGTGTTGGCCGCATCCTCGAGGATTTTTACCGGCATGAAGTGCTGGCCACGGCGGGTTTCCTGGTACCAGCATTGCAGCTGGCTGCGGACAACCTCTGGGAAGTCACAGAGACTACCCCGCTGGTCCTTGGAAAGCCGGGGACGCTTCCTGGAAATCTTCCGGGGTGCCCTCATGCAGTGTGGTTTGGATACCCACTCAGCGAAGGGGGCGACCTTTAACCGGCTGAGGCGTTTCCTGCCTACGCTGGGTAATGTGCTGGAGATTTCCGATGTGGATGCGCAAGCGGTGGGAAACTGGACTGAGGTCCCACAGGGAGGTGGCCTCACTGCACCGAGACCCAAGGCTGCCATGACGATGGGCCACCACTACGGGGGCCATAAGGTGCTGCGCTCGGCGGTGGTCAAGGTGCGCCTCCTGGAGCGCTTCCTGGAGCTGTGGAAGTTGCAACGGCAGCATGTGTCCCTCACTGCCGAGGGCCTGCTGCCTGTTGACTCCTGGCGTTGGCCTGACTTGCAGGCGTTGCACCGGCAGACTCCTTGGTCAGCAGCCGATCCAGACCTGTCCGCTGCTATCACGGATGCGGCGGCCCCGGCGCCTGAGCAACCAGGTGAGGAGCAGCCGGACGACCAGGCCGCTACCCTTGAGGAGCCGGCAGGGGAGCCAGAGGCGGCATCAGGTGCCTCAGGCGATGACAGCAGCTCGGCCTCTGACATCTCCGCCGATGCGGATGACCTGGTGGGCATTTTGCCGGACCCTACAGCAGCAGCTGAAATCAAGTGGTTTCGCCAGGGCACCAAGACGCACCTGGTGAGCGACACATCGGAGAGTGACCGGCTGATCCCGTATTGCCGAGACAAGCCGTTTGACCAGGATCCTGCCCGACGGGGCGAGGGCTTCGTGCGTGGGGGGCTTGAGTGCATCTGCAAGCGATGTCTCAGCCGTATGCCGCGGGGGCTCTACCTGAGTCTGGCGGAGCACTGCGGCTGGTCCTCCTGAGTCCTGAGTAGCTGCGGGCCCGTACTCTAACTAATTTGTGTGTGCCAAAAAGGGCGCGAGCTGCCGGCAGTTTCACCCTGTTTTTCATGTCAGTGTGGTTTATTTTGTCACGCCTAATAGGCCCTCAGGCTGTAATTGGTGGACAGGCAACCCCCTGTCGGTCTCCAGAAGGCGCAGCCGTCGGTTGTGCCTGTGCAAACTCTATGCTTTGGAGTTTTGGACCCAAGCTAGTAGTGTGCCAGCCCACCAGCGCGCGCCATGAGCCGAGTCGATGTGCTGGCGGATGACCGCGGCCTCCAGGGATGCTTCAAGGTGGCAAACATCCAGCAAGAATGGGCGCAGGACTTTATCACCAAGCACAAGTTGGTCACCCTGGACGACTATATCTACTCGGTTGCCCATGATACATGGGAAAAGGGTGTGGAAACCTTGGTGTCCCAGGTTCCCACCCTCCGGGACAACATGATCGCGCTAGCGCGGTTTCGTAGCGCTTTTGACATTGGCCGAGAAGCCTTGCGCCAGGCTGCAGCGCCAGCAACGAAGAGTGCCGATTTGGACGAGCCTCTGCCAGAGGCGACTATGAAGTCTCTCAACCAGGATTGGGCTCGCCGGTACAATTTGCAGCTGGATCCGTCGTTGGAGCCCTGTGAGGCCCTCCGGTCCAGGCTCTACCGAGAGTTTCGGAAAGGCCAGCTCACGGTCATTGAGGCTCGCAAAGTCAAGAGCGTCATCACAGTGGCCCAGCCCAAGACACAAGGGTCGGTTACTCTGGGAGACAACCTCCACTTGGAATTTGAGAAGGAGGAGGGTATCCTGATCAAGAGCTGTGTGGAATATTACCTGCAGATGCGGGTGCTTGCTCATGCTTTGGCATGGGCGGGCAACTACCAGGTGGATTATGAAGGTGGGCGCCACTGGATGATGGACCTTTCCACCGTGCTGGGCTATGTGGATGTCGCCTTGCGTAATTCTATCGAATTCGCAGGTGGGTCCATGTTGTGGCTGCAACGAAACGACGTGTTGACACGGGGCAAGCTGGCGACCTATGTCAACAGAGGCATGCCAGGTTCTGTGGCCATGAAACAGGCCTTGCACGAGACGCACTTCGAGTGGCGGTCTCCCTTGGCTGCCCCGCTGGTGGTGTCCTCTGGGTCTGGGTCCCCAGGGACCACCAAGCGGAAGCAAGAAAGCAGCCCTCTGCCTGTGGGTGAGGCACCGACCAAGCGGCCGCGCACCTTGAAGGCAGATCGGTGGGCCACAGTGAGCATGATCAAGGGCGGTAAGCGATTGTGCAAGCCGTACAACGACGGCAGGGGGTGCAGCAACTCGCAGTGTGATCAGATGCATGCCTGCGATGTGAAACTGCCCAACGGAAAGCCTTGCTTGAGTCGGGCCCACACCAGGGTCCAGCATGAGGAATGACTCCTTTCCCCCGGGAGGTGTGCTACCCCCGGGGACCCATGTCTGGAGATAGCTGCTGCGCTGCCTGCCACGCCTGTTGGACGGGCCCTCCAGCGACCAGTTGACAGAGCGAGTGCTGACCGCCTCCGGGCGGCAAAGCCAGTGGCATGGCGAGGTTTGGGGGATCTGCCCCAGTTCACGTGGGCCAAGCCGCTTGTGGGGTCATGGTTGGTGATCGACCTTTGGGCTGGCTTCAGTGGGCTGTGTGTGGCCCTCCTTGCGATGGGGGTGCGTTTTCACGCAGTGGCTGCGGAAAACGACATTTTCCCTGCCCAGGTGGCGGAACAGATCATGCTGCAGGTGGTTGCTGTTGACGCGGTGGAAACTGTGACAGGGACCATGTTCCGTCCTTTTCTGCAACGTCGGCAAGTCAGAGGCATTATTTTAGGCGGAGGTTCCCCCTGCCAGGGCAACTCTATTTTGAACACTGGCCGAAAAGGGTTGGCTGATACCCGAAGTCAACAACCTCAAGAGTTGGTACGTATCCGCCAGGAGCTGCAAGACCTCCCAGAATGTGCGACCCTGGAGATTGTCACGTTTTTGGAAAACGTGGCCTCTATGCCCCGCGAAGTCATGGACCAGTATACAGCATGGATGGGCTTCCCACCTATCCTCATCGATGCGGGCGCTTGCGGATGGGTGCAACGGCGCCGGCTGCTGTGGTTAGGCCAGGGTCGCTGCGGGGTGTCTCCTCGTTGCACTGGGACCGATCCCCCCGAGCTGCGCTGGAAGGGACCCAAGCCAATCCCAGCCAAGGTTCATTTTGATCAGAGTTTTGGCCCCCTTTTTGATGCTGCGGAAGTAGTTAAGGCTGCGGGACAAGGGGCTATGCATCCGTTCACCAGGGAGTTTTGGCACCCCTCTGATCGGGTCAAGCTGGTTCCGCCAGAGGCGGCTGCTAGATTCTATCAAGATGAGAGGCGGTTTCCCCCCTCGGCCTACACAGCAGAGAGTTTGCTTTGGCGTAAGGATGAGTGGCGTCAGCCGGGGCCTGAGGAGCGTGCCCAGATGATGGGGTTTCCTGCGCAGTGCGGCGGTGCGTCGCCAACGCCAAAACAGTATGCTTGGCAACGGTTTCCACCTGCCGATGATTGTGGCACTTTTCTGCCTGCTTCCAGGTGTGTTGAGTATGAAGGTACCGCGACCGTTGTTTGACCTCGCGGAGCGCAAATTGCAGGAGCGTTTGGCGGGTACGGTATGGGACCCAGGCCGCTTGCAGGTGTTCCCTGGTTTGCTTTCCAGTGACCAGGTGGTGCAATCCATGCAGCGGACAGTCTTCGGATCCTTGCCAATCTCTGCAAATGTGTGGCAGTTGACAGCCACCCGGTTGGCTCCCTTGCCAGTGTGGCAACTGCAAGCCTATACTGCGTGGGCAGTCGGCCGAGGCGCATCATGTGATCAATTAGGGCCCACCCCGCTGACAACGAGCCATCGGACAGCTCTGTTTGCAGGACTCACCGGGCAGCGCTACCCGGGCAATTCCCGGAAGGGCCTGGACCATTTGCTGCCGCCAGGCGTAGGCAAGGAGGAGCATATCAAACAGGCTGTGGGCCTGCCATCGCCCTTTCGCCTTCGCGAGTGGCCTGAGCAAGATGTGGATTTCGTTCTCCACGCCATTGCAACATGGCAGCAGGCACTGATCGGGTACTCTGAGCAATGCCGCCAGGTATTTCGACAGGTCTGCACAGCGCTGCTGCCATTGGATGATGAGTTGCGCAAATTCAGGGTGCACAGTGCAGTGAAAGTGGCCGCTGGGAAAAGGCCTGCCGTTTTGGCGTTTTTGACTGTGATCCTGCGATGGCCCGACTTGCAGCAACCTTTGCAGATGTTGCAGGGCTATCCTATTGTCGGGGCACTGGAGCCTAGTGGAGTCTTCCGATCCATTACTGCTCGTGAAGCTTTGCCAAAAGAGGAGTGGTTGGGGGATGCAGCTGTGGCAGCTGTGGAGAGGATTGAGAGCTCTCGCCCTCCGCGGTTTGCCGAGCGCATTTATGCTGCCACAGTTCTTGAGCAACAAAAGCAATTTTGTTCGCCTTTCCTTACCAAGCGCTGCATGGATGAGCGTTTTGGCGTAGGACAGTGGCGACCGCTGCAACGTTTCTTGATTGTGCAGCCGGATGGGAAGGAAAGAGTCATTGACAATGCACGCAAGACTCTCCACAATAGTTCAACGGCGATGATGGAAACGATTTACACAGTGCACTTGGACTTCATCCCGGCCGTTATCAAGCAACTGGCGCACCGGCTTCAGGTGACTAGCCCAGGGGATTGGAGTGTCTTCCACCCCTGGGCGCATTTTCGCCTGGGAACGGATGATCTGCCGGATGCATATCGTGGTCTGCCCGTGTGCCCAGAACATTTGCCATACTCTGCTGTGGCAGTCTGGGTACCCCAGCAGGGATGGCGTTACACTATTTTGTGGGGACTGGCCTTTGGACTCGAAAGTGCTGTAGTCTCTTTCAACCGGCTGCCTCAGCTGGGAATTGCCGCTACCAGAAGATGCCTCTATGGTCTTGCAGCAGCTTATTTTGATGACGAGCTGGCCGTTGAAGTGGTGGCAGCAGCCGATATTTCACAACAAGCCTTGCGGCTCTTGTTTACTAGTATTGGCGCTCCGCCCCAGAAAGCCAAGGGATTTGCGCCTTCACCAGATCGCCACTACCTGGGAGCCGCGATTCACTTGGGCTCTGTGATGACAACGGGTTGTGTCCGTATCCAGCCAAAATTCGCGACGGTGGCCAAAGTTGCTGGTCGTCTCCGAGTGGCCATTGCCAACCGTTGTCTTACCAAAGAGGAAGCTGGCAAGCTCCGGGGCGACATCACTTGGATGTTTTCTTTGGCGGCGGGTCACATGGGCCGTATCGCCCAGCCTGTCCTGGCCAAGTGCAGCAGTGATGGCCCGACGCCAATGGATGATGAAGATGTTGTTACCTTGCAGGTGCTGCTGCGCATTGTCCTGGACTGTCAGCCTCGCGACGTCCAGGTGTGCGGTATGGATAAGGTGCCTTTGGTTATCTACTCCGATGCCTCTTTTGAGCAAGGAGTCCTACGCCTGGGGTGGGTAGTGATGTGTCCGGGTACCTCCTACCAACCTCAAGGGGGGACCTGTGAGGTGCCACCAGAGGTCATAGATAGCTGGGTGCCTCGTCGCCAGCAGATTTACCCAGGCGAGGCCATTGTGGCCCTGGTCATTCCGGCTCTCTTGCCTGACCTACTACGAGGCCAGGATCTCCTGTGGTTCGTCGACAATGAGAGCGCGACCAGCACTTTGATCCGCTGTGTCTCATCTCAGTGTGATGTCCACGAGATAGCACAGTTCTCGCACTATCTGCTGAACAGTTTGGACGCCCGGGCGTGGTTTGAATGGATTGACTCCGAGTCTAATCCTAGTGATGGGCTGAGCAGATTAGGATTAGCAGATGAGTGGACACAGGCCCAGGGCTGGTCCCTCACCTCTTACACTTTTCCTCCTGGCCTCAGCCGCGGAGAATTTCTTCAGTCCCTTCCGGTTAGCGTGGTTTAGTGAACAGTGGGTGATTTGAACAGTGGGTATGTGTTTGGACTCATGGTAGTCTAACCATACATGTGTTTAGACTGTTGAGTCTAACCATATTCCAGATGTGTGTGGTATAACCCCCCATCTGTGTTTTGACCCATTGTTATTTGATAACAATGAGGGGTTCACTACCATGCCGCTACTGGAGGGCTGGTATCTTCTCACGTGCAGCGTACCAGTTGAAGGAAAGTGAAAAGAGTGCTGCAGAAGGGTTCACACTTTCTTACCCCTTCATAACCGTAGGTTGGTTGGGTAGGGGCTTTATGAGGTGTGAAAGTGTTGATACCTTTTGGGCCTTGATGCCAATTTTGGCTCAAGGACCCACTTTTGGTTTTTCCCCACCCTCCCTCCCGGATCTCCTCTGCGGAGTGAAGGGAGAGGGTCTTCGACGGGACTTGACCCTCTAACATTGGTACCTTACCATGTAGGGGTATGTGTTTGGACTCATGGTAGTCTAACCATACATGTGTTTAGACTGTTGAGTCTAACCATATTCCAGATGTGTGTGGTATAACCCCCCATCTGTGTTTTGACCCATTGTTATTTGATAACAATGAGGGGTTCACTACCATGCCGCTACTGGAGGGCTGGTATCTTCTCACGTGCAGCGTACCAGTTGAAGGAAAGTGAAAAGAGTGCTGCAGAAGGGTTCACACTTTCTATATATACGTATCTATATATATATACATACGTATATATATATATATATATACATATATATATTCAAGGGCTGCCGCCCCTGCCCCCGGCCCCGGGCATTCGCAGCAAGGAACGAAGCGGCAGCCTGAGAATTCTCCTGAACAAGGAGAGCCCTGAACAAGGGCTGGTCGAGTACTTAAGAAACAATAACTAGTCTCCTGAACAAGGAGAACCCCGAACAGGGGCGGGGCCTGTGTGGGGGCCGGGCATCAGCCTGGAGATTCTCCCTGTATCCCATAATTGTTCAAAGAAAATAGTGGGAATATCAACTGAACCGACGACAATGGGAATAGGAATGTGATGGGCTATGGTCAATCCATACCATGCGGATATATCCAATTGTATGGCTTTGTTATGGTTTGTTGATGGGATGTGGGCAGATGCATGGGCTTTGCAAAAGGGGACCATCTTGCCAAGGTTTGCAAACAATGGATGCACGGACATCCAACAAAACGCATAGTTCAACAGTGCAACACACCAAATTTCCAGCGCCTCACCATGCTTCATCTATTGGTCTTCATGATTTCTAAAGCGGGATCCCATAGGTAATTCAGTTTCATTCAATGGTTTTACAGGAGGCTTTACGGTGGATCTGAGAAATTGAACATTTAGACATTTCCCAATACGAACCGTAGGGCCAGGTGGCATCTGAGCGCTGCTATCGCGGCGCCATGAACGGTCCACACTCTGGGTTGAGTAAATTAAATTTCCAATGGAAATGGGTTCACTGCCTGATTTGTTACTTCAAATATATATGATATTATAGATATAATGTACCTCCTTGAATGTCCAGGCTGATTTTGCATGATTGACACGTCCAGATTGTGCTGATATCAAAGACCCTGTTGGACTATAGATGTCCAAATAAACAAAACAGTGTTTCAAGAATGTTTTATATGTTTGCAGAGTATATGTTCCCCATAATTTCATGGTGTTCAACTTGTCTGCATTTTTTTTTGTATGGTTTCTTTATAGTTGTCGCTATGGTCTTTGCTTATACTTATACTATCATTCTTGTTGCTATAGTACAAGTACTATAGTTGTGTTTTTTCTCACCATCACCATTATTGAGCAGTTTGAATACTTGGGGTTGCTATATCTTCGCAAAATGCGCAGAACTATATGGAAAATAACCAATGTATACGTATATTCGAGGAAGCCCCCATATTATTGTACGTTTATTTATGGTATCCACATATGAGTTTTCGGCATCTCAAGGTGTCCCCAAAGAACGATGGTTTAGTGGTAGAATTAGAAGATACCGATGAAACTTGCCGACGTCGCAAGAAAAGAGTTTCCCAGTTTCTGAATTTGGTCAATTTGCCCATTTCTTTGCTGGTGGCTACTGCTTGTATGCAGGGTTTTGTGAAATCGGGGACCCCAAAATCACTCAAACTCTGTTATTTTCAATCGAGAAACTACAGGTTTACGGGGGCCCCAACTTTGATTCTGTATTATATATGCAGAGTTTTAAGACAATCATTTGTGGAGATCATTCCACTTCATTGTCAGAAGCCAGATACTCACCGCATTTCATGTTCTGGATTCAGATCAGTAACAGATTCTATTCAAAATTGGGTTAGCTTTGCATTCTTGATGGTTAGATGTAACTGTTACTTGTTTCTGTGAAGGTAAAAATGTGGGTATATACAAATTTTGTTGCTTAAGTTTCAGTTTGCTAGCTACATTGCCTAACCAACGCGCAACCTCCTACTTTTGATGAGGTCAATCTTCCTTTTTAATCTTGTTATGTGAATCATCAATCATGTTGTAGGTAATACGGTTATATAAGCGAGGCACGAAGGAATGGGGATAGTCATATTCTTTAAACCAACTGTTTGAGATATGTTGAAACCCCATTTTCCGATCTTTTTTATCAATGGTGAGGCTGAGCACCGCC